ATCTATATCCTCAACATATGAAACAAATCCTCATTCTATAGATGTCCCAGTGTGTGTGAAAAACAGTGTCACCATTAAAAATAGGCATATGAGTTTTGCAACGTCGTCAACGTCGTCAACGTCATGTTTTTTGTATCTCTTACTGCTTCAAGCAATCTGCTCTTTATCAAGGTTGATGTCAACCTGTTATCTTTCTTGAATCTCCTTTTGACAAATTTTGTATTTTCCTTAACATGAGATAAAGAATCCATGGGATCGCGTCCATCGTCAATGGCAAAAATTATTTTCACATCACTCTTTCTCAATTTAATGTCCTCCCCACCATTGTGAAATTTAGATTTATTAACATCAAAGTACATAATTACATCCTGTATGGTAGTATCACACTTCCTACACCATGTCCTGTCTAGTTTTTTTTTTTAATTATGCATTCAAATAGTAACCAGAAATATGTTTTCCTCAAAACAACCTTGTGTGCTTCACTAATGTTAATTTCATATATTGTTCTAATTATCGCAAGCAAATTCGATCTGTATTTAGCATCTTGCTTTGATTCCACCATTTGTTTTTTCTCCATCACAGCTCTGAGTTGGGAAGTGACAGAGAAAAAATTTGTATGAATTATACCAAAAGGTTAACTAAAAATATAAGAATATAAACAAATAAGCTAACCAAAAAATATTGTATAATACAACCACTTAAGTTAATCAAATAACAGTGTATGACACAGTTAAATGTAAACTAAAAACAATGTATAACACAATGTAATCCGTGAAGCACAAAATAGAATATAACCAAATTCAGTGAAGCATAAAATAGAATATAACCAAAAAAGTGAATCAATAATAGTGTCATCCTTTTTTATGAAACATTGAAAGTGTAAAGTGTTACTTATGTCCAACCTCAGCTGATGGAAAGTATAAAGTGTTACAGGATACACTAATGTTCTTTTATTTGAGAAAGTTTGAAAGTGTAGTACAATAATGAAAGTACAACACTTTCAAACTTTCTCAATAAAAGAACATTAGTGTAAGATGATAGATACATATTCTGTTTATGTAACACTTTAGGTAATGTCTCATATTATACAATGGAGGAAATGTAAAGTGTTGCCTTGTGTAAGTGAAAAGTGTAACATTGTCAAGAAATGTCTCACCTTACACTTAACATTGTATTACAATCAACATTGTCAAGGAATAACCATTTTGCATTCCTGCACACTGTATTATTACACCACAACAATAATTTAAAAAAAATAAATATGCAGTCCCATGTGTAATGGTCGACTGTTCTTTATTTTGTTTGTAAACTAGTATACTGTTACAATATATTGGTAAGTTTGGCACACTTTCATTTGTTACCCTTTACATGTTACAGTTTATATATTACACTGTGTTGTTAACACAATCAACATTTAATCTTAAAAATGTTTAATCACAGAGTATAAGATCAAAGAATCATGTCACTAAACAACCTGGGCAATTAACACTCACAGCAGACAAAAATTTTAAAATAACAACTTTTTTTTCGAATTGTCCATTGTTAAACACTGCCTTGGTAAATTTGTTACATTTTTATATGTTATCCTTTATATGTTACACTTTATATATTTACATTGTCATATTAACACATTCAACACTTAGGATTTACACACAGTGTAATCAGATAGAATTACTCACAAGAAATAATAAACAATTGTGTCACTTAACAACACAATAAAGTTTTATAACAAAAAAAAAAAAAACAAGATTCAGTGTAACAAAATAAAAGTGTTTCAAATCAATTGTAACAATAAAAATATAACATTCATTTTATAATCCAACACAACACAACGTCTGTGTGCATATGCATTCAGTCAACCCAGTTCACACAGATATGCCAGCAATTGAAAAGAAAAAGGGGTTACAACATCCAACAATTCATGGTATAAGCAACACATAATTTAAAGGCTTCTGACCAAAAAATAACAAAAATGAACATTATTCCTCTTTTAATATTCAAAGAAATAAAATAGGGTTCCAATACATGAAATTAAAGCCAAAAAAAAAAATTAAAAGTGTAATGTAACCCATTATGATAACACACAATTACATGAACATGAAAAACACACATATATATATAGATATATATTGTACTATATATACACACAGACATACACACACATAAATATACATACATAGATTACCTCTTCGACGATCAAAACAGTGAATGAACACAGAATACCCAATCATGATCAACCACATTGCAAACAACGAGAAATGATCAAAGTAACAAGGGTTCAATGCCGAAAAAATCCACTTCAAATGACAATGCCGAAAAAACCCACTTCCAAGAAAACCCTCTTCAATCGATCGACCATTTGTAACCTGAATCGGCTTGAGGAAGAAGATGAACAATGAAATCGGCTTGAGGAAGAAGATGAACAATGGAGATTCAACACCCTTTCTATGAATCGGCATTTTTGAATGGATATGCAGACCAGCAGTTTGGTGAGAAAAGAAATAATGAGCAGTAGTTTTTTTCCTTAGAACAAGGATATACATTACGATTTTTGAGGAAGTTATAAAGATTTTGAATTAATGGAGCCTAAATTTTAGCAATTATGATAACTGTAATGTTACATTTTTTAATGAAATAAAAATAATAAAAAAGGGCATTTAAGTCTTTTTTTAAAATATTTTTTAATATGTACTTTTTGCCAAATAAGTCTAATTAAGTATACTGGCTTCCAAAGAACCCTAATTTTTTTAATAGAAAAGCCAATTTTAGGCCCAATGGGCGGCCCATAAGGCTCGATCCCCTATTTAACCAGTTTTTGGCCCAATAGACCGGTCCACGGATGAGCCATGAGGCTTAAAAATTCCTAACTGGTGGGCCCGACCCAACCCGTTGACTAATCAAAGGACGGTCGCACACCGATTCCGTTCGTCTTAGCCCAAAGGTTGCCCATACCAATTAAAAAAACCACAACTATTAGGATTCAATTGAGCGGGAGCAAGGTTCAAGGGATAGAGGGCTTCTCTAATATAGTTAGGAAGTGGAAAGTAGAGTCTTGCTTCAATGGTGGACTCATAGAAGCAAACTTCCTTAGGGAAAAAGGAGTTAGTGGTTTCATCAGGAAAAGGGACCTGCAGGTGCACAAAGCTTGGAATTGAATATTGAGCTCTGAGCTCTTAAAGGGAGGCCTTGCTAAGACAGCTAAAGATGCTCTTAGCCCCACTAATCCTCAAGGTTGAGGACCCAAACTCTTGAATAGAGTCAGTCTTCTGCGTTGGTAGCATTAGCCTGGGCCATAAGTGTCGAAATGATCTCAACAGAAAGATTATTAGAGTCAATATCCATAACTTGGAAACTATGGTGATTGATGCACAAATTTGGAAGAAGAGAGCAATTAACTCTGCTAGTGACCAGAGAGAGACAAAATTCAATTATGGAGGTGAGACAAGGATGAATGGATTCGCTCACAAAAAACCCTCAAGGCTCTAAGTCAGAATTGTTCCACCTCATATAGCAAAATCGATAAAAGAGAAATTGAAATATGTGGCTCCAACCTATGTGATCCAGACTGACTAATCATGTTGAAATAGGAATGCAAAAGAAGATTAGGGCAACGAAACAAAGATGCATCAAAATTCCAAAAGCTCTCAATGGCCTTTAGAGAGGAAGACGGAAAACCCTTAAATATTGGGCCCACAACGACTCTTTGGTGATTGAGTATACCAAGCAAACACTTCTACTCCATTCAATGGACAAATGTAATCAACGTCTTCAGTATACCTTCTGCAAGTTTGAGTTAGGGACAACTGAAGGAGCTAAATATATCTTAGGATAAAGCACGTGCCAAGCATAATCATGTGCCTGGAGAGGTCATGAGACAAACAAGTGAGTTGGATCCGATGTGGGGAAACAGCTTCAGAACCCAAACCTACTCACCGACTCACTCTCCCATATCACACCATTTTAGCTCAAACTAATTGCAAATACTTGGGGAAGGAAATTTCACATTTCTTGCCACCCAATTTGAAAAACAGGTACAGAGCTCCAATGGTGACTGGAGCTTAGCCTATAAAAGGAAAGAGGTAATTATCCAGGTGAGTAACTCATTCTAGCTAAACTCCACCCAATCTAGAATTCCTTTACTAACTTTATCATTAGAGGGTCTACCACTAGAGTCCCTCTGATCCTCAACTTCTTTGCAGGAACTCACCGGCGACTGTCAAATCATCGCTTCACCTTAGTGCAATTTTTTGGGAACAAGTTATGATCTGCAGTACTATATTTATGGCAGTCGTACGCAATGAAAAAAAATTATAATTTGACCCTTGTCTACTTAACAACCAAGGAGAAATTTCTCAAAAAATTGACTTCAATAAAATAATTAAAAACTTCGTGGAAACATCAAAAAATAAGAAAACTATAGGAGGACCTTTTGTACCTAAAAAGGTAGTAAAGTCCAAATGTCACAAAAATGTTGTCATCTTAAGCATTACCATTAGAATGGAAGTGTATCTTCCATATAAATTGATCCCACTATGTAGGGACAAGGTGTATTTTTGAAAAGTGGAAGCAAGGGTGGCATTAAAAGTTTGGTCTAGCAAGAAATACAATAGTGACTGATAGAAGAAACTCATATAGTTTCGATCTTACAACCACTAATTCACATGTTCTATTATCCCATATGTTGATCCTGACCATTAACCTCACTTACCTTAGAAGTCCCTCCGAATCCCAGTCAAGCATGCCCCAGTGGGCAGTGAGTTATACACTAGGAGGTTTGCTCGAGTGGACTAAACCTTTGAGACCCTACCCAGGTTGAGGTTGACAGTCATGTTCATCTACTCTCGTTGCTTAGTGCTCCCCTGAGGAGGACCATATTGCGTTGTCCTAGGTGGGAATCCATCCTCTTAGTCCATTGGGCCTGTCAAGCAAAGGTGTTTAGTAGGTTGAGAATGCCAATTTTATCAGTTGTGTAATCCTAACCTTGTATCATTTCTCTGCAGTGGGGGGATGCGAGTCGCGCCAAGGTTGCCCTCAAGCCTTTGCAGTGCTTTTTTGCCACTTCTAATGTGATGAAAATGTGCCCCAACCTTTGTGTTATGGGCACTTGCAACACCGAATTGCCTTCCACAACACTATTATTCATAACAATCCTGCTTGACCCTGTCGAACCCCACTGTCATGTCAATTGACAATTCATGCTATCATTTTTTGGGTACATTATGTCACCTATTTTTAAGGAAAGTTTGGTTGATGCACAAAGTTTGGACTTGCAAGCCAAGAACATGAAGATATTTTTATTAGAAAAAAAATAAATTCTTAAATTTTTTTATTTGTTTTTGTTTTATTTGTGAAATATTTTTGAAGCTTTTTTGTTTCTTAAGTAATCAAAACATTATATTGAAATAAAATTTGATCATTGTATCTACCAAAGAAGATCGAAGAAAAAAATAATTAAAATTCATATTTATCAAAAGGTTAATCTCCATCTAATTAATCAAATTTGAATTTGATTCAAGCACTCATCTATTGATTTTTGGATATTTTATTTTTATCTTTTTATCTAATAAAATCTTAACACGTATACAAATTTTTTATTTAATTATTTTATATTATATTATTATCTTTAAAATCAATGTATATAAATCAATCTAACCAAAATTAACGATTCTTCATTAACTTTGCAATGATATGCATATTTTTTTGAATATCATAAACTTACCTATAAATTAATTCATCTTTTGGGTCCACTTAGCAACTTCAATCCTTACCTTTTTTAAAACCCAAATTTAAATTTGGGTAAAAATAATCTAAAAACTTTCTCCAGCAATCTTATAATAATACCCTTTTTCAACCAATAGTCTGTTATTTTCATGACCACCAAAAAAAAAAAAAAACCCAATAGTCTCCAATTGCTTCTGCACAAAACTATAATATAAAAATCCAATTTGTTCATATAATAATAATAATGGCATTTCCAATCTACGACATCGTACTATATATCTTGTTTCCATCATGCATACTAAAACACCTACAAAACTCTCTCATCTCTTTTCATTTTCTTGCTGATCTACTTGCTCTGTGTATAGCCAATTGCCATGTCTCCGGTATTGACTTCCCAAGGTGCAGTCTTGGCCACCGCCGTTGCCGTCTCCGGCACCGTGATTTACTTGGCTTTCCGCTTTCAAAAGTCTTTTTGCCCTACAACCCAATTCCCAATCAACTTAATTATTCGTCAGTCCCCATCGTCATCAGTCCCTTCATCTTGCATCTCTTCAGGTATCTACAAACTCTCTCTGTATTACGATACACAATTGGAATTCTTTGGGGGAATCAAAGCCGAGTCTCCTTTTGTCGAGTTGTATTTGATTCAAAAAATTTTAAGAATAATACATTTTTTTTTTATAAATTTTAAGTTTCACTCAACTCATAATTGACTTAAAAATTGTTCGGCCCACTCAACTAAGTCAACCGCAATATCATCTATGAGTTGATTTTATTGCTTGATTTGTTTCACAATGTCATAAAATAGTTAATGTGTCCAACTTAAAATGAGTTGTTATTTCATATCGCTTTGCGAAGCCAAGACAAAGTGTTATTCAAATTAATGACCGATTTAATGTACTTGAACTATGAACAAAATTATAAGAGCAATGTTATTGGAACCTAGTTTACTATGATATTTGAATTAACTGTGAAACCCATCAAATACTGAAACTTAATGTTAATTCATTGATTCTACTGAAATTGTATCATTATGTTAATAAATTAAATCAAATTTTTAAATTCAAATAGTATTACTCAAATTAAAATTCACGTGGTTGACTCGAATAATTTGAGACAAAACTTTGTTAAACTTAGTATACAAATATGTCCATCTATATACATATTTGTATATACATATGCGTGTATTCTTATTGGTATTGTTGGTGCTTTTGGGTGTCGGTGCATGTGCAGATGGAAAGAAGAGAAAGAAAAAGAAAAAGAGGGTGCATTTTGCAGAGGATGTGGTGGACCTAAGACGGAACAGTGAGGCATATAGGAAGCTGCCCAGTAATATCCGTCATGGCCAAACTTTGCCGGCGAATTCATCGACTTTGAAGAACAGTCACGGCGGAATGCCGGCAAATCGGGCGGCTCTGTACAACGGAATTCTAAGAGACCGAGTCGTCCACCGGGTCGCCTATTCCTATTGACCATTGACTTTCAACTTGAACTTTGTGATTAGGATACCTAATTTGCCCTCTAATTTTGTACAAATATTAGATTTTTTCATACAATTAGTTTCAATCCTTCTTGTACAGATAAAAATTACTTGTACTTAAATTTTTTGAGCCGAGACCGAATAGCTCATCACGATTAACACCCCAATTCGGAGGTTAGTTACATCATTTTTGGGTTTTTGAAATCCATCTTAAAATTTTAGCATCGATCCCAAATAATTCAAAAGGTTGTAAATTATCCCCAAAATGTTGTACACTTGTATATGGCGGCATAATGCCAATATTTTTTTAAAAAAAAACCATAGAATTCTCTCAATCTTAAAGTTGAATTGATAGTAAACCTCATTAACTTGGAGATTTGTTCGTAATTCAATGATAATAGTGAGTTAGATGAGTAAATTAGATCAGATAATTAAAACACTTTTGGGTTAGATTACTGGAGGTTTCCATTAGGATATTTATTTTTTAGGTTGCCAATTTAATGACCATCTTATAAAAAGTCAAGAGGAAATTTCAGGGATATTTCTCTAATTTTTATGTCCCTAATACCTTTGTGAGTTATGGTAAGGACTCGGTCTAGTCCAAGGAGGTGGAATAATGCTACACACCATTTTCTTACACCATCTTTGTATACTACCTCAATATAGCAGTTAGACTAATAGATCTATTAGCAACCTATCACAAGTTGGCACTACCAACAATTGTGTGAATCAATGGAGAAATAAGGATACACGAGATTCTTGGAGAAAAAAGGTGAAGACTCTCACAATCTAGCCTCAATTAGTGGAGAGAAGTTGAGTGATCTTGGAGCTCTAACGGCAACATGTTCATACCAAGATGACAATCCAATCGAGCCAATAAATTTGGAAAGTTCATATTTGCATTTAAATCTGCATGGTAGTTCAGCAAACTCCCAATAAAGAGGGATTCTCTATTGTCAAATTCCCTTGTTATCAAGCTGTCAACGTAACAACTTCCCCTGTTATCAAGTTGTCATCGCAACAAATGGAGAGCACGGCAGATTGTCAAACGGCTAAAACCAGAACCAGATTTCATGAGATTTCTCTTTTATTTGATTTACAACTTAATAATTGTAATTTTATTTAAATATCTCACTTGTATTGCCTAAATGTTCACGTTGCCATCGAATAAAATTTGAGTTTCATTTTCTTTTAGAACAAATACTCAATCGACGTAGTTTTTCTTTATGGTGTCAGAGTCATTGTAAATATTAGGCGCAACCTGTCACATCTCCTGCATTTTTTTTCTCTTCAACTTCCATCTTACCTTCCACTCATTTCTTTCACCATGACTACCATGTCACTCAATGTTGGCAACTTTATCACCCCCCGACTCACCCCAAACAATTACCCCTTGTGGCGTGAGCAAGCATTGGCTCTTGCCAAGAGTCAAGAAATGGTCGGGCACCTCACAAATGAAGATCCCGCTCCAACCAAATACACAAATGCAGAAAATTCAACACCACAATTAACAGATGCTTGTGGTGTGGGTCTCGACACAACTGGAACACTCTCTGTGGAAACTCTCGGACTCGTTGTGGGTCTCGACATAACTCATGTTGTTTGGGTGGCTCTGAAAAATGCATATGCACAAGACTCACAAGAACGTGAGTTCACACTACGACAAAGAGTGACCTATCTTCGAAAGGAAGACAACACAACAATCACAGAACATATTCGCACCTTCAAAGGTCTCTATGACAATTTATCAGCGCAACTAGTTCTCTAACCACACAGACACCCCAACTTCTTCCCTCACTCATCAAATGACTTTTTATGGATAGCAGCAGTAATGCCCATAGCCAAACTCTATAGGCTATCGTGAACCTTCACAAAAATTCACCTTCAATGGTCGTGGATTCCAAGCTCAATAGCAAAGGGACTCTTCTTCAGCAAACTCACAACGTCGACCTCCACCACCTGGTGAGCATTGCATGACACCTGCAGAGAGGGACAAATACCGTGAACAACAATGCTAATATTGTGGGATGATGGGCCATGTTGCTAAGATATGTTGATGGGTGCCAAAGAAACCCGCTAAACAAGATGAGATTCCACATGCACTTGTAGCACTCACTTTGGACACCACCATTGCTGACACCGAATGGACAACGGACACTAGGGCTTCCAACCATATGACAAGTAAGCCAGGTATGTTAACTAACCTTCGTAAATACTCTAGTGCTAACTCTGTGCTAATTGGAGATGGGTCTTCCATGACAATTCTTGCAATTGGTGATTCTTGTATAAAACAAAAGGTGTTTGCCTTACCTCTCAATGATGTTCTATTGGTTCCAAACTTAACAAAAAATTTACTTTCAGTAAGCTAGTTAACTAAACAATTTCTTGTTAAATGTGAATTTTCTAATGTTGATTTTTGTGTTAAGGAATGGGAAACAGTACAGGCAATGATAATAAGGAAGCGCAAGGGTGATCTCTATGTCCTACCCACTTCACCAGAATTGTATTTCTCCCATCAGTTCAAATCAAGCACTGTAGAAGTTTGGCATCAACGTCTAGGCCACCCACAGTCTTCAGCTTTACAAATGCTAAAAAATAAGGGATTTATTAATGTCGCAGGGACAACAAAAATTCAACAACTTTGTGATAGTTGTCAACTAGGAAAACTTAGTCGTTTACCTTTTTCTTGTTCGAAACATTCAAGTACTAGTGTCTTTGAAAAAATTCATTGTGATTTGTGGGAACCTCCCCTGTTTTATCAATTGCAAAATTTAAATATTGTGCTTGTTTGGTTGATGATTTTTCTAAGTATACGTGGATTATTCCCTTACGCAACAAATCTGATTTTTTTAATGCATACTTAGCTTTTGAGAAATATGTTGCAAGACATTTAACAAGCAAATTAAAAATTTTCATTCAGACAGAAGTGGTGAGTTCATCAATTCAAAACTGTCGACTCATTTTCTTTCTACAAGCATTGTTCATCAAGTATCATCCTATATACCCCTGAGCAAACTGGTATATTTGAGAGGTGTCATAGACTATAAGAGAATTAGGGATGGCTATGTTATTGCACTGTGGTGCACCCTTATTCTTATGGATAGAGGCCTTCACCGTAGTTGTGTATATTATGAATCGCCTACCATCATCTGCTCACAACTTTGAAACACCATAGTTTGCACTTCATTGGACACGTCCAGATTATTCCTCACTCCGAGCATTTGGGTCTAAGTGTTTTCCCTACATTTGGGATATATGAAAACACAAATATGATCCAAAAACACTTTCGTGCATTTTTGTAGGCTACAGTGAAAAACATAAGGCTTGTAAATGTTATCATCCATCAAGTAAAAATTTTTTCATCTCTTGTCATGTTGTAATTGATGAGTTAATTTTTCCGTATAAGCCTATCAACAATTCTGCATGACAGCAAATTAGCCACATGTAATTAGTATTTTTTATTCTTGGTCACCAGATACTAACATTTCTTCTTCTACAGGTACAATTTTGGATTCTCCCTCACCCCTGTGTCAAAGTCCCTTGCTGCCAATTGACATTTGTACTCCACTAAGTTTTTCCCAAAATTCTAGTCCCACTGAGTCATTATGGCAATCCCCCTTTATCGATTCACAGACCAGTGCAAAAATTAATGAATTTCATGAGTCTTTTCACACCACTAGTTCACCCGAAACATTTCTATCACAAGAATCTCAAGAGTCTCATAGGTCCGCCCAAGAAATAGCTCCACTAATTGTAAGTGAAACACCCAAGTCCTCCCATCATAGTCCTGGTCCTTCAGCACCATTGGTCCACTCCATGGTCACTCGGTCTAAACTAGGTGTGGTAAAACCAAATCCTGAGTATGCCTTAACCACCATCACCTCAGCTAATATACCTCATGAACCTCACAATATTAAGATTGCATTGGCACATCCTGGTTGAAAAGCAGTCATGGACGAGGAGCTGGCTGCACTACACCAGAATGAGACCTGGAAACTGGTTCCTCGAACACCAAGCATGCATGTCATTGGTTCAAAATGGGTGTTTAAATCAAAACTCAAACTAGATGGCTCTTTAGATCGACTCAACGCACGTTTAGTTGCAAAAAGGTATCATCAAATTGATGGAGTAGACTAAAAAAAAACTTTTTCTCCAGTTATCAAATAGGGACGATACGCATGATAATTACCATAGCTCTTGTTCAAAAGAGGTCTATTTGTCAACTGGATGTAAAAAATGCCTTCTTGCATAGTTTAATTTCTGAAGATCTATACATGCAACAACCACCAAGAATGGTAGACTCTCTGCAAACTACAAAGAGCTCTTTATGGCCTAAAACAAACACAACGTGCTTGGTTTGATCATTTTAGTGCATTTCTTCTTAAATATGGTTTCTTTTGTAGTCTAGCTGACCCTTCATTGTTTGTGTTTCATTCGGACTATGGCTCATTAATTTTACTTCTTTATGTAGATGACATGTTGTTCACAGGATCAACTCCAACACTTGTTTCAAATTTTGCTACGTTGCTAAGCAATGAGTTCGCAATGAAAGACTTAGGACCTATTCACCACTTTCTTGGGATGGAAATAACGTCAACAACAAGTGGCCTTCATCTATCCCAGTTGATCTCAATCCGAAGTGTGTACACCCAAGTACAGGCAGTCAAGTTATAGTAATAATCTGGTTAAGTCCGGAGTTGAATCCATAGGGAACTATGATTAGTGTTTAGAAGTAAACAGTGATAGAGACCAAGTAACTGAAATTCTTGAGAGTTTGAAGTTGTGGGGTTTTCTGGACAGAATATAAGATTCTTTCCAATAGATCTTTTTCTAGACAAAATATAAAATAAATTAGCAAAGATAACAACCACTCTTTAGTTCGAAGATCAGAACATGTAATTGGTTATCCGGTTTATTATGTTTGTGTTTTATAACTCAATTAACTCTTGTGTCAACAAGAAGTTAATCGGAAGATAAAGATAGATTATGAAA